AAACTGGGCAGGAGTGGGAAAGGGAGACATGCATCCCTTACTGTGAAAATAGAGTAGGGATCTACCGTATTCACGATTAATGACTAGATTTGGACCTTCAATACTTGTCAACTCAGTTCTTCCGTACTGTTCAGAGGCCTCGTAAATTACCTAAATCATTTGCAACGGGCTGCCGGCATATATTTAAAGCTGCCTTCTGTCCATAGTGAAGGTCAGATGGCTAGCCAGAAAGGATAAGCAAGAAAGAACTTTAAAAATTAAACCTTCAAAATCTTATCTCCAAATGAATATTCATAAAGAAACGGGGAACGACTAATCATACTCTAAGGGATCACTGAGCGACAATAGGCGTAAGAAACTCGAATGGTACCCTGACGGCAAAAGAGTTGAACTTCTGAGGCTGACATGAAGTAGATCTTTTGAGAAGGAAATGAGGCCATTTAGGACATTATTAAACCTGCGCTACAAGAAAAAAGGGAACAAGATGAGGTGGCGATGTGCTGCTGGAGCCTTATAACCAGAACTCAAGGGAAGTCTAGTTATTTTTTTTTTGATTTACAGCTTGATTCCACACTGTATTTTTGGTACAAGTATGGAATTTTCAGCGTGGATATCGGTAGCCCGAATTTTGCAGGCCGACCATAGATATCAGGTGTGCGCCGGCGTGGGCTCGAACCCCGGACCATGTGTATGGTCGGCGAGAGTCCTAACCACTGTGCCACCGACGCACAGACAAATATAATGATGGTCATACTATTATCACATAACTCGCAATTCCTCCATGGGCAACGTTATCTCACGAAGACAGTAAGTTTCTTCCTAAATAGTTAATGCTTAAGCAAAGCTGTAGCACATGATCTACTCTGCCTTTCATTTGTACCCTAATAATACAAATATACACTTGGAAATAATAGAAATACAATCGGAAAATAATAGAAGAGAGAAGGACAGTGAAACAAAAGATTATCCAGTGCACCGACGATAAACAAAAACAGGAGTTGAATGCAAACTACAATACACTGAACAAAAGAGTGAAGAAGAGTGCCAGGGAAGACAAAAGAAAATATTATGAAACCATGGGAAGTGAAGCAGAACAAGCTGCAGGCAAAGGAGACCTCGCCACACTCTACCAAAGAACTAGCCACCTTTCGGGCAAAAGTTCGACACAAATTAAGCCAGTAAAGGACGACAATGGGAAGTCAACCACCAAAGAGGTGAAACTAAGAAAACACTGGGCTGAACACTCCAAAAGACTTCTAAATCGACCGCCACCTACAACGCACCCAACAATTCTAACAACGGAAGCAGAACTACCAGTGAATATCGACCACCGACGAAATAAAAAGTCCTGAATCCAATAAAGATGCAAAAGCTGGAAAAGCAGCAGGTCCAGATGGAATCCCAGCAGAACCAATGAAAATGCACCCAGAGACAACAGCGGACTTGATAACACCACTGCTGGAGAAGGTGTGAAAAGAAGGCAAAGTACCTGAGGATCGGAAGAAAGGATACTTATTCAAACTACCAAAGAAAGGAGACTTAAGTCAGTGTAAAAACTAGCGCGGAACTATGCTCCTGTCCATTCCAAGCAAAATACTAAGCCGCATCATCCTGGAGAGAATCAAACAAGCCCTAGATGAAAAACTTCGACCGGAACAGGGCGGATTCAGGAGAAACAAATCATGTATTGATCAAATCGCCACTCTACGGATCATCACTGAACAAAGCTTGGAATGGCAGTCACCTCTCCATCTCACTCAACTTCATCGACTTTGAAAAGGCCTTCGATAGCGTCGATCGAGAGGTCATTTGGCAACTACTTCGCTACTACGGGGTCCCATCGACAATTATACATCTCATCCAACAGTTATACGAAAATGCTGCATGCCAAGTAATCCACAACGGGAAACTTACGGAAGCCTTCGAAGTGAGAACGGGAGTGAGGCAAGGCTGTCTATTATCGCCAATGATCTTCCTGATTGCAGTAGATTGGATAATGTGACAGACAGTGGCGTGCAATGAGGAAAAAGACATAAAATGGACTCACACAAAAAACTTGGAGGATCTGGACTTCGCCCGCGATGATATGTGTCTGATTTCCCACAAAATGGAAGATATGCAAGTGAAAAGCAACAAGTTGACAGAAGAAGCATCAAAGATAGGACTTCAATTGAACATAGAGAAAACAGAGGTGATGAAGGTTCCTGGCCAACAGCAACACCAACAACAACAGACAACAATCAGCATAAATGGGGGGGTAACCTGAAAGTAACAACCTCCTTTACCTACCTACCTGGGAAGCATCGTTCCAACTACAGGTGGAACTGACGAGGATATCAAAGCCAGAATCGGAAAGGCAAGACAAGCTTTCATTACTCTTAAGTCTGTGTGGAGGTCAACATCACTCAGCATGAAAAATAACATCCGGATTTTCAACTCCAATGTAAAGTCAGTGCTACTATACGGATCAGAGACTTGGCGAGTCATAAGGAGCATCTCAAACAAACTACAGACCTTCATTAACAGTTGTCTTTGCTCAATACTCAAGATCAGATGGCCGGCCAGAAGAGATCAGCAACAAGGATCTCTGGCAATGAGCGAACCAACACAGCAGGAACCGATTGTGAAACAAATAGGCAGAAGAAATGGAGATGGATTGGCCATACTCTGAGGAAACAACCATCAAGTGACATCACCAGACAAGCCATTGCTCGAGTGGAACCCGAAAGGGAAGCGGCGAGTTGGTCGTCCCATGGTGGGGTGACTTGGAGGAGGTCATGTGAGGAGGAGATGAAAGCATGTGGGCAGACTTGGAGCGGGGTGAAAAAGTTGGCAGTAAACCGAAGGCAATGGAGATGCGCAGCTGAAGCCTTATGTTCCTCTAGGAACTAAAGGATATAATAATAATAGAAATTTATCCTTGTATAAATTTGTGAGGTAATTTTGATCCTTTCTTTTACGACAGGATCTAGTCATTTTAATCTGCGCCCTTGTTTTAACATTTCAAAGCTTCTTAACATTATTCTCAGCCGCTATTCTGACATCTACCATAGTTTCCGTGATTGTGCAGAAATATGTTTACAACCAGTTTAATCCTGATTATTTTATTTTCTCTTCATGAACCCTGCTCATCAAGGGACTTCCACTGGGCTAATTTAACATATCTTAAAATTGTGGACAAAATGCAAGGTACACCTTTTAAATCAAAACCTAGTTTTCACTGATACTTTTATGCAGCAGACGGATATTTTAGTTCAAACCGTGTTAGAGACGCCTTGAAGTTCACCGATCCGTGGTTTTTCTTAACAAAAGACCCCTACTCAATGAAAGAACATGACATCGGATATGGGGCCAAAATGGGGCTCCTACTACGGTAAGTTGAGTAGCTCATTCTGCCGTTTAAGTGTTAGCTCATATTATAGTTGTATCACATCAGTATCAGTTTTACCTGTTGCACTTTAGACTTCAAATTACCCACCAAGTTTAGTCGTTTTTTGCAACATACTTGTTGGAAAAATTAGAAATAAAATTAGTATTCGAGGTGAGAATAACCCACCTTGATTAATTGGTCGTCGACTATATCTTATAACTAGTCTCATCTCATAGACATTCCCCTATCATATTCCTGACGGTAGTCTCAGAAAAGCAACTTGTACTCAAAGCCGGAGTTGCTAGACTTGTAAATATTAAAGATTACAAATGGTTTCGGACGTAGAATTATCAGATGTAAATCAGCAGTAAAATTTTTCAAAAATGAAAAACAATCATATTATTTCTGACAGAAAAGAAAAGAAAACAGCATAAGAATAGTATTATCAGCAGAAAATTTTGAATTAAGGATTTCAGAATCTTTAAAGTTTGTCACTGTGTACAGAACTTGGTCCCTATTAGAGGATGCGGATTGACTAACAGAAACCGCGTTTCTGTATTATCTAGCCAGAACGGCAGGAGCTGAAGAGTGGTGCCAGCTGGTCACATACGGATGAGCTTTCGTTATGGTCGGTCACATTAAAAAGGACCTGAAATATCGTAAATATAACACATGAACAAATATATAATTGAACGAACTCATCCGATTTGTTTGCTTGTTTACTAAAGAAGATGAGGTTCATACTAGTTCTCATTAGTTTATACTAACGTAAATTCTTATAAACACAACTCCTACAGTATTTGTCCTGCGTACACCAAAAGCAAGTCATAACCCCAAACTGACCGTTCAAAACATGAAGTATATTTCGAGGTTAAACTCTCTGTGTGCGAGGAAAGTTACTTTACTAGCTAGGATTCATAAACGAACAAATGTAACACGACAGTTTGCCAAATCTCATGGATGCCTGGCCGCCAGCCTTCAGCTAAACGAGTCAAATTAAACAGTAAAGGTTAGCATCTCTAGTTGGATGGTGAATTCTGTAGACTTATAATTTTGGGGATTTTTTTACTACTCCACCCTCAAAACTCAAAAATCATCAGTAAATTATGCACATCTTGACATTTTCTAGTTACAGTCAGCGAATACTTCATCATCCTTGATTAACAGCAAGTACGGAACTATTCAAGGTATTCTCTGAAAAGGACGGAAATATCTGAAGCAGCTAAGTGGAAATGCAATGCTTATATGCACTATATTCCCTGTGTAGCAATTCTCAACAGGCAAATAAATTCACTAGACGAAAGGAAACCTAGAATTCGTTGTCAACAGGAACAGATTTACTGACTAGTAACGATAAGCAAAAGAAATTACGGCGAACAAAAAGCTGATATGATGATTAAATATTCACTCGACAAACATTCCGAAACCCTTGTAACACTAATGATTTAGCCTTTTTACAGATATCCTTTACAGTTATTTAGATAATTTCAGTACCTTTCATTGCGTTCCTAATTTTTCCCTCTTATTTGTTGATATAGAATGCACGTGTTCTGCAGGCATTAGAAGCCCACCTTCAAAGTGGTTCACAAGCTTTAGATATTGAACAAGCGGGGGTTATCTAGCAGCTTGTATGTGGCTTATGGTAAGACTGATGCAATGTGTTTATAAGCTTTTTGTCTAAAAATCACATGTTAAAAGTCAACCAAAAGAAACATGGGAAACCATGATTTTTCCCACTAAGCACTAGAAGGTGAGGCATATATAAAAATGAAAGGATTTAAGCCGATAGAAACTCACCAACTTCTATGAAGCTTAGATTCAAATATTTCCGTAAACTGACTCTCAGTGTGTTATCTACCTCGAATATAGCATATCGTTACACCTTCTCACGCGGTTCAAAAGCGACACTTTTCGCTTTATTCAGCATGTGAAACTGGACATCTATACAGTCTACTGTTTACCGATTAATTCTTGTATAGTTGTTGCTATTGTCAAAAACCATCACTTGTCAGTCAGAATACTGTGTGTATGTGGCTTGACAGCCTCCAAACACATGCTGTATTCTTATTTCCTTTAACAAAACAAAGTGTTTAGTTTCACACTAAACAAGATGCACCAACCACAAACCTTGGATTTTTAGTGTACTGCTTCTGTGCCATGTAGAGTCAGATGCATTTGAAGGAATTCTGCATTGTTGTTTATTGCCGTCTAATAAAAGTGTTTTATTTGAATTCCACGTAAGGTTATCCATTGCTTTTAAGAATCGGATAGATGTTGATTTCAAGTCATGACTGGAAATATTTTATATCTGAACACATGTCTCCTACAACTAGAAATATTATGACGGTTAATGTTTCCCAATCAGCTTTCCGAATAAAATTTACCTTTAAAGTCCGTGATAAGCATTTCTCACCAATATGATGTTGTCTGTGGATTCGACTGCATTTAATGGTTGGCAAAATACAATGTACTTAATTGTATCAACTTTTGTATCTCATATGAAAGTAATTATGAAGGTGAAGGATCATTCAAGTCAGACTAATTTACGTGAGTACTAATTGATAAAGCTACGAAATTTGTACAAATCCCCGAATTTTTAATGCTTCATCAACAATAGAACATATATTTGCTAGACAGCATATGCGCCTTGTTGAACCCATTTCCTTATCAAATGGAAATTTTTTGGCATAGTTATCCTTTTGAGTAAAATTATATGGCCCAATAGAATCAGTCCATACGATGTGTATTGCTCGACCTGTTTTTTATTTAGAGCTGGATATATGAAACTTTTCATCAACCAGCATTTGAAAGTTGTAAAATATAAATGTAATGTCCATAGAATCCCTGAGGGGACTGCTTATGTTATTAAAGTACTTGATGGATTCAAGATGGGGAAATAAAACTTCATAAGATTAACTAATTACACTGGAGAACTGATGTTTCTCCCTTTCAAAAAGTATTACAAATGTCGGTAAATGCGTGGTAACAAACGGTTGATGCTTGAAATCGTTTATGCTAATATGGTAGCTTATGAGATTAAATTCACGCTATGTAGAGAAAAGTAACTGTTGAGCATCTACGAAGAAGGTTGAACAATTAGACGAAACCAAGAGTTCCAGCAAATTCAGTTAGTAGGCACTTATGGAAGAAATGATATGACTCAGATGATGATCTATCCTTCAATAGCATCGGTGGACAATAAGACAGGTAAACATACTCAGAGGAGTTTAACATCTTCTTAGCTAAATAAATGTTGTCTTCTCTGAATCTTCCTTCTTTTACCACTCTATGTGTTCGAAATCCACCCACGATTTTCTGCCTGCTTGCTATAATTATTTATATTTGTAGGCTCTTGTTATGCTATTATTAATTTTATTACTTTAACTGTAATCTGGTTTCTATAAATTTTATACAGATTGCTGCCACTAGGATATAGACTACTTGTATTGATTATTTGGAATGAAGTTGGTTAGTCACAAAATATTTGATTTTGATTTTCTAAATGAGTAATATACTAACTATTGGGAAGAAAATGAACTGTAGGAGAATGTTACCTTGAAGTTGATATAACTCAACTTCAAAAGACATGTGAATAAGTCAGTTAACCGGTAGAGACCATTTGCAGCTCACAAATATCTACTTGGCGTTGTTGTGTATGCCAAGCGAGATAGTTGCATTCTGTACCTAAATAGCTTCCTCAGTACTAATTTCAACAAATTATTATAACTTCTTCACTGTTATCTAACCTTTTATCTGTGTTGTTTATTATTTACTGACATTGTTATGGTTTCATCTAAGATTTGCGCACTTTCCTGGATGCATCAGTGTATGTAGTTGCCTGCGCGCACCGGTATGATGGAATCATTGTCACGTATTTTGACTGCTAATTTATGCTCGTGGACGTGATGACGAAGAGAACATTTGCCATGGTTCAGTTTATCTTATAATTGATTCTGGTACTATCACCCTCGGAATTTACTTCTTCTGATTGACTAACTATGGATTTAAGTAGCTTTGTTGGCTAGATTTTAGTACCACGACAACGGTTTTTGTAATTTTCGTCATATAATAGGACACTCATGGAATCACCCACATCAATGAGCTATTATGAAGATGCTAGATTTCATGGTTCTACCAATGATCATTCTAAAATTGTGGATGTATTCCGTCATTGATTCATTCACGATAATTGGTCCTTATAACTTAATCAGCGACATTTTACATGATATTAAATTGACAAGAGTGGTGAAACGGGACAGCGAATTTCATTTTCAAATGTCTTAACAAGGAGGGCAAGTAGAGGAAAATCGGAATGCAAGTATGTACAAAATGAATACATACAGATCTACTAGTTAATTAAAACAGAACAGTTCAACAACGAAGTAAAGCGTCTGAATGCAAGCATTACGAGAAAGAGCTAGAGCACACTAGAGAACTTCTCTTTTAAGGAGAACAGAGGTAGGGGATATCTCCTGGGTGTCTTCCTGAGAGATGAATACCCATAGAGCATTACCGAAATGTTGTCAATCCCATGTGAATAACGTTTTTGAAATCAATGCTGAAATGATAGAATTCTTTGAAATGGTTTAATGCAATCGGATAGTAACCGTGCAATCCTAATTACTTTATTTTTAAATGAATGAATTGATGTTTTAGTATGAATTATTCTTTAAGAAATACATTACCTAATTATTTTTAGATTTTTGCTTGTTTTCATTAGGTTCGTGCTAAGGGTGTTGTTGTGGCCACTAGCAGGATACCACAACTGACAAAAATAGCTGAGGATAATGTTGATCGTTGGCGGAATAATAGTTTAATGCCCATCTTAGGGAGCAAAAGCACTGGTATCCTCTTTGCAACTGGCGATCCTTTTACCTTACAAAAAGCCCATCCTTCATATGATGCTATTTATCTTCGTACTACTGACCAACGCACTATTGTTTCTGTAAGTCTGCAGATATATTGTGCCAATCAAATCTTATGTGTCATACATTTATTCTATTAGCTAATTTAAAAGAGTTCCCACTTAAGTAAGTACTGTAACAATATGGTAATTACATTTTATGTTCAATGTTGTTCATTTAGTGGGTTGAGTCACGCTTACTCTGTAAGTACAGGTATATATCATACAAACCTCAATCTATTCCATGTAGTGACATTTTATCCATATATTTGGTAGGGATAAACAGCACTCGGACTATACTTTTGTTCAAGAGAACTTCAGTCTCTCTGTTGCAGATTTATTCGAGTGATGGGGTCAAAATTGGATGAATCATACATTCAGAAGTGTTAGCCGATACTTAATAATCTTCTGAGGGCAGACAAGACAAATTCATATTTGGAACAAAAATACACATCAGTAGGAAGTTCGTTTCATACCTCATTATCAAATTTAAATCTCTTTCTCTTTATTTGACTAAACACTTCAACATGGCTATACTGAAACTCAGCGGTATCCTCTTGGGGATGAATAGATCACAAATGCACACATTGAATCACTTGAACACGAATTTCTTGCATGCTACCTTCACAGATACTTTAGATAGGATTGTTTATTCGTTTGTTTGAACGACAATAAACAATATTGTTCATGTGTTGCTTTCTATTTATTTTTATTTTTTTTTAAATAAAATAATAAAAATAAATATTGCATGGAGGATTTAATCATGAGCTGACATCAGTTAGGGAACCACTGGAAAACCTGGGAGTAGTGGACAGCCGTTTCGTCCTAGTTTGGGACTCCTCAGCAGTACGCATCCACCACAGGGTTTAGAACCCAGAACCTTTTGGTTACAAGGCTAGCGAGCTCGTAGATCATTGAGCCACTGGGACCCAATCCAATGGCCCATGAATTCCAACTTTTGCTAATTCACGACATAGCGCAACCGCTATTCAATGTCTTCGGCGAGTATTTGTCCTCACACCCGACCTGCTGTACGCTACTGGTCAGCAGTTATATTAGGAAACACTTCCTGTGCCGCACTGGTGGTCTGTTTATTTTTCGCACAAGAAATAGTAAACGTAAATACAATACTGGATCTTAGGCAAATTTTGCACTGCTGTTTTGTTTGGTAAGTGGGGGTTGGTGGTAAAATAAATTGAAATGGAAAAGAGACGGTGAATAGAAAGTAATTCATGTGTGAATTTCTTTCTTTCTCATAATGTACGCCACACTTGACACTGAATAAATTGTCTTCGATCAGTAGGTATTGTATCGAATGGAAGGTGGGGAAAAGTAAGGTTTTTATGTTGAACTGCTATGTTGAACGTCAACATCTGTCTGACACACAAACCCACATCCTGACCACCTCAAGTGATCTCAAGAAAAGTTATCACTATGATCTGTTCTTAATTTGAATACCATCAAGCATACCTTTAGTGCTTCAAGAATGAATCTATTTCTAGGATATGAAGACTTTATTTTTCAACTCATGGCTTCTCTTCAAATGCTAACAGCCTGAAAATGAGATAAGTTAATATCAATGTGTATATATAATGTATTTTAAAAACAGTTATTTCAACTCAAATGGTATTTAATAATTTGTTTCATAATAATGAAACAAGGGGTATGTGTAGAAGATAATTATTAACTAAACTACGGGAATTTATTGATGTATAACACAATGGGCGTCGGTAGCACAGCGGTTAGCATGCTCACCAACCATGCACATGGTCCGGGATTCGAACACCGGCCAACGCACTCCTTTGTCTTACTTATCCAGCAATAAGACTTGTAAAGAGGGAAGATTGGGAATGAGGCTAGCAACCCAATCCAGTAAAAAGTAAACACTACTACAGAAACTTCAAGCCTCCGGCTTGGAGTCCTATGTTTCACTGGGGACGTGAAAGAAATAATAATAATTATATATAACATAATGGAAAGTTCCTGAGTAGACGGTTGGAATTTTTACCCTACATCGTTTCTCAAACTTTTGTATATTGTATTGAAATCTTATGTATTGAATCCTTCATTTTTTAAATTCCACTTAATATTAAATCCTATCCAAACTACCAAAGAAAGGAGACTTAAGTCAGTGTAAAAACTAGCGCGGAACTATGCTCCTGTCCATTCCAAGCAAAATACTAAGCCGCATCATCCTGGAGAGAATCAAACAAGCCCTAGATGAAAACTTCGACCGGAACAGGGCGGATTCAGGAGAAACAAATCATGTATTGATCAAATCGCCACTCTACGGATCATCACTGAACAAAGCTTGGAATGGCAGTCACCTCTCCATCTCACTCAACTTCATCGACTTTGAAAAGGCCTTCGATAGCGTCGATCGAGAGGTCATTTGGCAACTACTTCGCTACTACGGGGTCCCATCGACAATTATACATCTCATCCAACAGTTATACGAAAATGCTGCATGCCAAGTAATCCACAACGGGAAACTTACGGAAGCCTTCGAAGTGAGAACGGGAGTGAGGCAAGGCTGTCTATTATCGCCAATGATCTTCCTGATTGCAGTAGATTGGATAATGTGACAGACAGTGGCGTGCAATGAGGAAAAAGACATAAAATGGACTCACACAAAAACTTGGAGGATCTGGACTTCGCCCGCGATGATATGTGTCTGATTTCCCACAAAATGGAAGATATGCAAGTGAAAAGCAACAAGTTGACAGAAGAAGCATCAAAGATAGGACTTCAATTGAACATAGAGAAAACAGAGGTGATGAAGGTTCCTGGCCAACAGCAACACCAACAACAACAGACAACAATCAGCATAAATGGGGGGGTAACCTGAAAGTAACAACCTCCTTTACCTACCTACCTGGGAAGCATCGTTCCAACTACAGGTGGAACTGACGAGGATATCAAAGCCAGAATCGGAAAGGCAAGACAAGCTTTCATTACTCTTAAGTCTGTGTGGAGGTCAACATCACTCAGCATGAAAAATAACATCCGGATTTTCAACTCCAATGTAAAGTCAGTGCTACTATACGGATCAGAGACTTGGCGAGTCATAAGGAGCATCTCAAACAAACTACAGACCTTCATTAACAGTTGTCTTTGCTCAATACTCAAGATCAGATGGCCGGCCAGAAGAGATCAGCAACAAGGATCTCTGGCAATGAGCGAACCAACACAGCAGGAACCGATTGTGAAACAAATAGGCAGAAGAAATGGAGATGGATTGGCCATACTCTGAGGAAACAACCATCAAGTGACATCACCAGACAAGCCATTGCTCGAGTGGAACCCGAAAGGGAAGCGGCGAGTTGGTCGTCCCATGGTGGGTGACTTGGAGGAGGTCATGTGGGGAGGAGATGAAAGCATGTGGGCAGAGTTGGAGCGGGGTGAAAAAGTTGGCAGAAAACCGAAGGCAATGGAGATGCGCAGTTGAAGCCCTATGTTCCTCTAGGAATTAAAGGATATAATAATAATAATTCCTAACTGTCGACTTTTACCTGGTGTTTTGATTTAAAATATCATAACACACAGTAATGTAAACATATGTGATAATCTGCATTGTCACAGCAGTTTCTGTGATTATTTCATTTTACTCATGACGCATGTACAATCAAATGAATGTGAAATTTTTACAGTCTTATTTACTTTTTACTGTACTTTTTAGTACCAAAAGTTGTTGAAGGTGGGTGGACGTTTGGCTGGTACGCATACATACGATGATGGGAAAATAAAGCTAGTAGTGGTAGATCGTGATGCAGCAGGTTCATTCAAGCAAACCGTATTGGTGGACGAAAAGCATCCTGAGACAGTAACAACTCCATTGCTGCCTTCAGGACCAGATGACAGCCAACCTGGGTAAGATTCGCTTAATTTTGGTTCATTTTTTCTTTTGTATTTTGAAATAATTCAAGATGCTTATTGCCTTTGGTGGTAGCATGTTAGGCTGTTTCAGTTTAATTTAATTGAGAATGTAAAATATGATGAATTATATCTAGGTGTAGGAATAGTACTGCAACAATCCAATCACGTGTAATGAGCGATGAAAGGTGAAGTTAGATTAATTTCTTCTTTATTGGCTGGGCACCAATTCTCGTATTCGCTAGTTTTCATTTCAATTTATGCCAGGACAAATCAATGTAATTCCTGCGAATATTTAAATTTTCATTATCTCCCTCAAGAACATGTCAAAATTTAAAAGAAAAAACTGTTTGAAATATTTATTTCAGCTTGCTTCGATCTTTCACAGATTGTGAACAATTTCAAATATCGATTTGCAGATATTTAACTAATTTCAAGTTAGATAGAAACCTAACATCGTTTACAGGACCAGTGAAAACCAAAAGGGGTAATAGACAGCTCTCACATTCTTGTACACAGTAGATACAACCTCACTGGGGTTTGAACATGACACCTTCAAATTAGGTGAGTTCGTGAATCACTCTGAATTGATAGAATTTAGAATTCATGCGTCATTGGATCCCTTGCCGGTGGCTAAATGGCCAGTAGCTTGAATAAATGCCCGTTTTGTTAAAACAATGCATATTTTTGATGAAAATTTTCATTTTTGCAATTCCTGTCTTGACAAGTTTTGTTTATTTTATGCAGGAACATGTTGACAATTTCGTTGTTGTTAATGTGTTATTTGTTTTCAGCTTATTTGATCCCGATTACATTGGATACACTTCAATGCAAGTTAGACATATTCCAGACAAAAATATCTCACTTTTACTGTGCATTACTATCATTCTACTCATGTCATTCTTTCGACCGTAGAGTATACACTTTTGATCTCCGCTCACTGTTTACATCTAGACTGTCACAGTTTAGAGGACTGAACACAATTTCATATTACCGAATTACTCTCCATTTGAAGAAACAGATTATTACTGGGTTTGTTTCTGCTAGTTGACTCGAAGTCACTAACATTCAATAATTTAGATTAACCCCATCGTTTCCGCTCACCTGAAATTCATCATTCATTTCTGTTTTTGAAACATGATAATTTCTTTTTAAAGTGATTTCAGTTTTGAGTGCTTTCATTAGAATCTAACCATTCAATAATTTTTGTTGGTACGGTAAATATGCGCATGAAATGTGTTTGTAGTATTAATGAAAAGTGTGATATCTGTCATGTAACTGGTGTATCCCTTTTCAGTTTATTTGTATGAGTATGTTTGTGCAGGTGCTGGTATGTTTTTATAAATGACTTCATGCAGGTAGGAAAGAACAGATCCCATTTCTGTACTTAATATTCTTTAGTATCTTAAGTATTTTCTATACAGCATTCGTCTTTTTCGGTTCTGTTTCTTCTAAGGTGTAGAGCAGCGGTCTAGACAACTTTGAATAGAATTATTGGGTTACAGGTTGGAGGCTTGCATTGCAAGAGATTCACTTTGAAGTAAATGAAGCAGTAACTCATAGCCAGGGTATATTTTTGGTGTTTACCCTTCTTTATACACAATCTTTGTGATATGAAATCCAGTGTATCACACTGGACTAATTTCCTGGGTATATATATGATAGAGAAGATTTGTAGCTCAAGTGGTTGTGTTCTCTGAGCTGGATGGTTGATTTTCGAAGCTTTCATCACCCTACTAGGTGACATCTTCAGCGCATACTTCTATTTGAAGTATTTCATTTGGGTATTTCATTCAGCCACTTTGCTTAGTATACTAACGAACGCGCTACTTCTCACTTAAATGTCAGAATGTTGGTCATATTATATGTCAAACTCCTGTGTTCAGTATTCTGTTTAATACGGAGTGACACAACTGACAGTTCCATTTATAACTATTTTAAGTTAGCTATCATTATCAAATCGCTACTGAATTTAAAATAGTAACATAAAGAGAACATTAGCGATGATAAGTTATCATTGTTATTAAGCCAGAAGCTTTAGATGTAGTTTTAAGGGACATTTTATCAGAATCAAAATCTCATCAAATAAGTAAAAATTTCAAATGTGAAATACAGATTTTGGATGGTCTGTTGATGATAATCTTCTTTTGAAATCTTTTAATCCCTTTTCGTGCTTATACACATGTTTACCGAATATGTTAACTTTAATCTTCGTAGGCCTAAACACCTCGAAAACCTGTTTTCACCCCATTTATAGACGCTTGAAACATACCAGGAGAAACATTTAAACCAAAGAGCAAGATGTTACATTAAAATAATCTCAAGGGCGTTGTTATTGTAGTCGCGAGTTAGACTCTTTATCCAGTGGTATCTGAAGAAAGGTATGAAAAAATTAATGAATTGCATAAGTCTCATGATTCTTCTGTTTAGACAGAACATTTTTGTAATCTTGGATTACGGGGAATTTTGAAGTCACTAAGAATTCTCAATGTGGCTTTGTCTTTTCTTTATGGCTGTTACTAATGGAAGTACGGAGCACAGTACTTGTGTGTGAGTGTATATCTGCCTCTAGACTGGCCGACTTAACAGATAAGGGATTACTTCAAGTTAGCACACACATAGCAGTAGAGAAAATAAGTTTTTATCAAACAGTAATGCATAAGAATGAACGAGAGTAACACTGTTCTGTTCTCATATCTTCCTTTTTTCAGAGCCTAAGTTTTTCAGTCACTAAGTTAAATGGCACATAATATACACGTGTTTTGATGGTTAGTCAGTAATTACGCTTCAGCCAGTGGTGATGCCGGCTGAAAAATACAAATCTAGCCTTCTGTATCCCAGATGACTGACTAAATTTCAGCGTAGAAGTGCACCAGTCCAACTTGTCACACTCCATGCAGCACAGAAAGGCAGTAAACAGACAGAAAATAGATATTCAAACGAATTACAATTCGCAGAAATATGCGCCAGATTGAAGAGAAACATGGGGAAATTTCAAAGAGTGAATGCATCTGCGTCACTAAGAACGATTTCAAGCCACATCACCAATAGCCTCCAGAGACTAGTGTATAGCAAAATGAGGACTTCAGCCTGGACGTCAACACTTCCCTTAATGGTCCCAATTAAATGTCAAAGGCTTCACAGAATGGTGCTAAGTTTCAGCTCGACAACCCCAAACTATTTTATAAAGCTAATCCTATATCAGCTGACAATGCTCGTCGAGGAAGGCGATAGCTTTTCATGTACAACACATGACCTAGCCATGTCAATAGATGTAACTTCACAATTTCATTGATTGAATCACCCCACTTACTAAGCACTGTACGCCTAGCCTCTAAATTAACCAGCATATTATGCCACTTAAAATGAAAGACAGAACGCAAACATATATGAGTAAATACAACTAGCACTTTCATATCATCCACTTTCAACGGTCATGTCTCATAGCCTTAAGGGAGTACACAACGAAGTGGTGCGAAATACACTTGTACTTTGAAAGATATCCGGATATCATTTCTATACCAGAAATGATGTAAGTTGTCAAATGTCACTCCAGCCTTTTGTACGCGTGTTGAAATTTCGTTAGCAAGCAGCCCCTTAGTGTTAGTGCAACTTCCTAAATAGGTGAATTAGTCAACACGCCTTACCACTTCACTCCCAATCGTTAAGCTTGGAGTCAACTTACTGTAATCCCGCAGGATCATCTTACACTAGAAAAGAGCGAATCTCGCGCCGATCATTCAAAGGTTTCTTCTCAAGATGTTCATAACACTTCATTTTTTAGCGTCATCTACGAGGATAATATCATCTGCATACTGTTAGTCCACAAGACTGTTTCCCAGCAACAAGTCGATCCCTATGACACTAAATTCGATTAGGATAACATAGATTCGTACACCTGTTATGAAACTAAACAAAAAACGAGCGTATTTGGCCTCCCTAATGGGCACCATTGGTTTGCATCACTTCAAATGGCAACTCTTCAACGTCTCCTACACGGTTGAGTGAGTTCTACTAGAGTACCTTGATTGGTGCAATTTACTTTCTTGGTATCCTCTTCACGGCCAAACGTCGTCACACCACGTCTCCACTGATTGGGTCGAATTCCATCTTCAGATTAGAAAACGGGACAAGTGATAAGAGGTGGTAAGTATGTGTTTCTTCCAGAATTTGTCGAGGAGTGAAGATATGATCACTATAGCCTCTTCTTGGCCTAAAGCCCCCTTGGTATTTTGGGGGTTCTTTCTTCCAAACATCAATTAGTCTGTGTTTGATTACTCAACCTAGAACTTTAGATAATAAAATAACCAGGCTTATCCCCCAGTGATCGTCATTGGAAAATTTGTCCCCCTTCTTAAAGGCTAGGATAATCAATGATTTGCACCAGTCTGATAGAACTGTCTCAGTTTCCCATACATTATCTTTCACCTACCCCAGTTAACTCAGACAACAGTTTGTCACCAAAGTCCTTAAATGCCTCTTGAGAGATTCCATCAGGTCCTTCTGATCTGCATAGTTTTGGATTACAGACAGACTTCGTAACATTAGTTACGGATGCAGGGCTGACATCCATATCCCACTCAGGTTACTTTTGGATATTGAGCAAGATGAATTTTTTTGTAGGTCAGTTAAACTGCTTCTCATGACCTCTTTCCAAAGTTCCAGCCTTCTTTTCTGGGAGCTAATTAAGACGCCACTGTTCGCAAACATCATCTTCCTTCCTATTTCTTTAATAATCCTGAATAGTTGTCTGGTATTACCTATCGCTGTTGTCTTTTCCATCTCTTCAGCTTTTCTCTCCTACTACAGTTTGTAGTCGTTGCAGAGGCTTTCTCTCAGCTTGCGCTTGCCTAGCTTTCACTCTACAAAGTATTCAGAGCCCGGTGGAATCAGTCTTCTTGCATCAGTCAGTCCAGATTAAGCAACAGAGATCCACTGACACTTACTAACCTTTGACTTTAGGTTGACAGCAGTCTCTACCACTGTACCTACAGCTG